GTTTTAAATTCGAATTTGTTATTGCGTATTGGTTCGATTATAGAACGATTGTAAACGTTTCAGAAAATTGATCAAATTGAAAATAGTTCGTTTGATTTTCGGCAATTCTCTTCAGCGGTAGGTGTTATATAACAATTACTATGGTTATTGAAATATTGGATGTAAATGGGGTTTGCTTGCAAAACCTCCGCTGACGAAGTCGCGGGTAACAGCTAGTATATATATATAAATTTCTTAAAATACTTTTCAAGTTATTGGTTTTAAGTATATTTTCTTAATATAATTATTATTTTAAAACAAACTTTTAATGTTAGTTCTTAAATAGTAATAGTTTAATAATCATCATAGAAATAATTATTTTATATTGTTTAGAACATTTCATTTCAGTTTTAAACACAAATTCTGAATAACTTGTAATTTGGTCAATGCTGATTTATTATTTATTTTATTATAAGCATAAATTTTTTAGAATGTGATTGGGATCTTTATAGAGCAATTACATTCTGTGCTCATCAAAATGATATGATGCAATAATAATTTCTTAGTTCTAAAGTGTTTTTGAATTGGAACTAACAATATCAAGTATATCCAATCATTGATTAAATTACAACAAATTTAGAATTGTTTTAAAATATTTTATTTTATTGTAATTTATTTTATACTTTCTTTACTGTGAAGTGAAGTCCTCAGTGAAGCAAAAAAGCTCTACAAACAATTTATTTGATCTTCAAAATTATATTGCCTATATAATATTTGGCAACTTTCCAATTTTTTTTATAAACTGGAAAATTGAGAATAAATGTAAAAATATCTAATACTGTCTACAGTTTTACTTTTATTACAAAAATATGCAACAACAGTTACATTAAAAATATTGTTTATAAAACTTTATCCATACATTGTCTAGAAATTTTTAAATTATAAAATTAAGTAATGTTCTGAATCTAAGTGTAATATCTGATTCTTTTCAAAAGTTCAGTATGTTTAAAAATGTTCTATATGAATAGAAGTAAGTTATATGTATGAAAAAAATTTTTGTTGTATTTGCTGTTAAACAAAATTTTGTTAAGATTGTGTTTTTCTATACATATTGAATTTTTTAAATATTGAATGTTAATGTAATAAATAATTACTGAAATTTAAATTTCAAATATACTGCCTAACGAAAAATTTTTATTAATATTTATTAGCATAGCAGTTAGTTATTCCACTTACATTCTTTATTTTTATCCATAGATGTTTGAAGAGAGGCATCATCTACTTCTGCTTTGGAATTATTTTCAGATTTTAAAAGTGGAATAATTGGTTTGTGGATTGAGGTTTCAGTATTTTGATTGGCAGTGTTGATACTTAATTTAATATTGTCAGCCATTGTATTATGATTTAAAGTATAATCTTTAAACCATTCAGGATAAATACTGATTATTGTTTCCAGCAAATCCTGATCGAGTTGAATTCCCCAATATACTTGCTTATCTCCTGTTCCTGTAAAAGCAATAAATTGAAATATCTATTAAATGCAACAATAAATTTTAAAATAAATATTTTAAAAAAGATATGGCTTAAAATATTCTTCATAAATTAGAGACAGGTCATAATTAGTACAAGTAATGCATTACATGAAAATATCATACTATTTAAGCAATTATAACAAATCCATGTGATTGGTTTCAACATACTGAATATATTTTAATTTAAAATTTTTACTAGACATTCTGCTTTTAATATAGTATAACAGCTAAAAATAATCAAAATGTACTAATTAACCAAGGATCAATTAAAATCAAAGAAATAATATAAAAAGAAAAAAAAACCATTTTAAAAAATCCAGTAAAATTTTAGTCATAACTGAGAAACATTTCAGTTTTTACAGTTGATTTACTGGTATAAACAAACATTAAACAAAAACATATTTATCAGTTTCTAACATTATCAATCAAAGTTCAATTCTATATTGATTTTGTACTATTTAAACTCATACTAATCACACCCTACATTATTATTTTTATTATTGTTGTTAGCAGATTGTCCTTTTCATGCTAGGCACAGATATCAACAAAGGCAAAGTCAAAAATAGCTACTGAAAAACCTTATTTTGTTTAGGCCATTGATTAATAGCATCTGAATATGTATCTTGTTTAGTATTGATTTTTTCTGCTATGTTTTAATAGGCTTTACGAAGAGTGTGCACGTGCACATGCACACACCTAGACTTGTATAGTCTATGTGGTATGATTCCTGGGCAAGAGAGAATTACAAATATGATATCTTATCCATTTGCAACATGCACTTTATTTCATAGGTTAGTTTTAAATATTTAATAATTTTTTTGCTACATATATTTTATTTTGTTTATCAATGAATGTGATACACTTTTGCTTACGGATTATGGCTCAATTATAGTATATTTTGTGTGTTTTTGTTTTCTAAAACTGTCTACAGTCTGTTTTTATAGTATGCTTATTAGTTGTTAACAATGTGTGTCACTTAGTGTAACTATAAATATTGTTATCAGTCATCTAGTATCAGATTCAATATGTCCCAAAACATATAAATTAAACATTACAAAACTTTCAATTATTGTAATCAGAAATTTACTCATCATTAGTAATATGAAGATAATTATAAGTTTGAATTTATTTAGATGGTTAAAGATAGCCAGAACATAACAGTTCCAATAAGAACATTAGCACAATAGTCAGAATGAACTTAAATCATTCAATCATGTAAGATGTTTACTCTTAATACATTAAACATTCATTTTAATCTTGTACTCTTTACTATACACAGTACAATAGTTTAAATTTTGATTTCTAGCACTTGTTATTCATTTATAGACCAGCTATTTGCTGTTGAAGACTACTGTGATCTTCAACTAAGTTTAATTAATATACAGTTTGTACTGTGCTTCTTAACATGATGGAAGACAAAATTTACCTCTCAAAGATAAACTTGAAATTTTAGAATGCAGTGTTTTATTTTGGAGTTCTAGTTCTATATATATCTAATATATAATTCCAAATGAATATTTATTGCTTTAAATATGAGTTACTACCTACAGTGCAGCTGAATGAGAGTTAAGTTAATCTGCTGTTGTATTCTTTTGTTATTCTGTTTTATTTGTGAGTTCTATGAGCCTGTTAGAATCCTAAATATTTATAGACTCATCTTCATCCATGCATTCAATGTTATTTCCATTTCTGAATTCAAAGTTTTTCATCTTCAGAATTCCTTTTCCTATGAGCAATTTTGTATTTGTTTAAGACAGGCATGGCTGACAAATTGACTGCTATTAAGTTGTCATCCTTTTTGGTCAATTATGGATAATATGGCTTGTTAAAACATGAAAAATATTTATAATTTCCATAAAAATATAGATATCATATTTCCACCATAAAAACTGTTGACTATCACTGTAGGTTGTTAATGCTGTGCTATGTGAAATTATATAAGAAAAGACAAAAAGAGCACAGGATGTTGAACAAGTAACAAAAATCAGAATGTGTGCTCTTTGTATCAATAGTTGTATCTTGATTATGTTGTTATTTTAGAAATTGTCATGCTGTGACCAAACAATTTCAGTTATGTGCACAATGTAAGTGTGCCAAAGAGAAGCAAAACTTATAATTTGTAAAATGAGTGGAAATTAAATTCTTTTTTGCTACTGTAAATGGTAAATGCTGCTATGGTAGTGTTTCTTTATGCAGTACTGCTCAATTGTTACAGAGCAAAGCATTTCTAAATGAAGTGCTATCATGTAGCAAAGCATTTCTAAATGAAGTGCTATCATGTAGCAAACCATTTATAAATATTTGTTGCAAAGAATTGCTGCAGCAAACAAAGCAGCTTTTATGTCCACTACACATGTAAAGCAAAATAGACTATCATATGTATAATGTGATATTATGCTGTAAAAATAAAGTTGAAGTGACTGTTGATAAAAAATATTATGGAAAGATTAAGGATTAAGTTTTCTAAAATGACTCTAAATGCCATATAAAGAATAGGAAAATACTATATCTTAAACTAATTATCTATCTTCTATCTCTCTACTTTGTTTGCATTTTAGGAAAAAGAAATGTTCAATTCTTAATCTCTCTTTTTTGTTATATTGTAGTTCTTTAACTAGAACACTACTTTCGGCTATAACTGAAATTACAGAATAGATTACGACATCTGTGTTTAGCCTGAGCAGAAAGTATTTCTAAACTATAATGCAGCAACTTGCAGCAATAGCTACTCATGACATCATTTTCACTACATTCTCACTACATAAAGAAACATGGCCTATTTAGTTTGTGCTTTAATGTCTATCAAAATGAACTTCTGGAAAGTCAACAACTATGCAATAAATTAATATTTGCAGTGTAATTTTATAAGAACAGGTTAATAATTTCTAAAAGAATAAATAAACTATGATGATTGTTTATTAATACTTTTGACTCAGTAAAGGCTATCACATCCCACTAAAGTTAGTCAAGCCTGATTTAGACCAAACTCCATTTCCATGTCAATGGATTAATTGTGTAATAATTTTTAATAGATGATTTAGTTGTGTTTCTGTGGTTACATAGACTTTTTATGTCATCCACATACAGCTGGTGAGATAAACACAACAAAACAACACTACATATGTTTTCATTGATGGACGCTATTCTTGATGTTTTTGTTAGTAACTGTTGTTAAGGTATTGTGTCAGTGAGTGTTTTGATCTTCAATGTGATATATATAGTCTTGTCGTGTGTTGAGGTATCTGTTCTGAAACTTGTTATTTGATATGGTTAAGTGCTGTTCTAATCAATAATCCTTTGTTATTTAACAGTGAAATGTGGGCATTTTTGTATGGCTTTTCCGTACAGATGATGCCTATATGCTATTATGTCTGTTTTAAGTTTTATGATAGTGTATTAAGTACAGATGATGAATTCATTCATTTCTTCATCTGTTGATCTGGTTTTCTGGCCTTGTTGATCAGTAGTTGAATTGAATTAAAATGTATTGGTTAAGTTTGTGAGTGTTATCCATTGTGTATAACCCCCATATTCACCAATGCAAGTTAAACAGAGAGTTGACAAACTCCAGTTTAGATGAAACTCGAAGTCAGATTACGAGTTACTCTTCTTTCATATTCAGATAAAAATAAAACTCTTAGAGTTTCGCTACTCTAAAGTTAATGTTTTATAACAATCCTGCATTCGAGATTAAACAAATCTTTCGTAAGCAGAGTCTTGATTGGTTGAAAGCAAACACGTGTAGAAAATGGCAGAAGTGAAATGGAAAATAGTGCATGCCGTAATTTTACTAATTTTGAGAAGGAAATTCTACTCGAATTAGTCAAAAAGTATAAATCTATAATTGAAAAAATAATTTTTCGGCAATGTAGAAACTAAATTGTGACCAATTCATTCTATTATTTTCTTACGCTCTCTTTTGGCAAACAATATCGACATAGAAAGTCATAATCGTCCAACTGTTCAAGGTCATTTCTTCTTCGAGAAATAATCCACCGACTACTCATGTTCCATACAATCTAATAATCTAGATATTTCAGATTTTCTAGCATCTCAGCTTCACCCTCATCAAATGTCGCCATTTTTCCCCTGAAATAGATCTCTCTGTGCAGGCATCAAACCCAGAGTTATTGTCTACTTGCCGATTTTCTAGAGTTAGAGTTAGGGTTATTGTGTTTGACACGAGATTCGGAGTTGGTGAATACCAATAACTCGAGAGTTAACCCTAACTCTAACTCGCGTTGGTGAATATAGGGGTAAGTGAAGTGATGATTGTGATGCAGTAGTTGTACTTGAGCCAGTGCAGTACTGGCATATTTTTCAAATATGGTCCACAAATACAGAAATTGTTAACCCAGGCAATGTTCAAGCCAGTATTATTCCAAGAACATGTCACACTCACTTATTTTCTCCATAGAAGTAAATGTGCTTACATATTTAAAGCCAGTTAATTACATATCAGCATGTTTAGCAACTGTCCAGTTTGGTTCAGATGATGCTTGAGGATCAGTTTTAGCTTCAGTTCTTCCCGTGGTCTTTATTAGTATGAAAGCCCCTACTGAAACATTATACTCCTACCAAACCTTTTAAATTTATGTTTATTGTAAAATATATACACAGTAGGACTCCATTATCTGAAGTAATGTGGACCAATGTTACCTCAGATAACCATAGCCATTTCGGATTAAAAATTATGAATATAAAAGATTTATATATTATATCACTTTTAAGTCTCTTTATACATTATTGAATGTCATTGTAAGAACAACATTTTTCGTATCATTTATTATACAACTTGCATATACAATAGTTTTGATTGCCAAGTTGCAGATATGGAAATGGATTCTTTACTGTTGAAACAATTACCTTTAAGTGTTGCAACAAATATCTCAAAAGCCTCAAGAGTCCTTAGCTTATGATTATCGAATTTCCATTTTAAAATCTTGGCTTCAATTCGAAACCATAAGCTAAGGA